GGTCTGCTGGATAAAGATGAGTCTCTCCAGTATCTCAAAGAGTCAGTCGACATCCTCTCGAAGTGAACCATCTAGGGCTACTCGGTTTAGTAGAGGTCTTCCTCTATTCATTTTTTGTACTTGCATTTCACAAGGAAATGTTGAGTGATAATTTTGTATTTGGTATTTTTAAGTATTTGTGTAAGGAATGGTTCTGAGGAACTTGACTCTAATACCAACTGCAGGAATTCGGAACTATGAGGGAAATAAATTCATTAATTTAATGCGGAAGCGTATAATAGCATTATGGTTTACATTCATAAATTTGAAATCCCAATAGGGCTACAGAAATGTCGCTTTTATAGCAGTTCATAAAAAAAAAACGAAATAAACATATAAAAATAGTAAATAAATATTGTAGGGAGATTAATCTCCACTAGCTATTGATAGGATCCGGGGAACACCTACTCGCAGCCCTCCTGCTAATTAGGATCTGAGTCTTAATCTTCTTGATCTGAAATGGTTAATAAGTGTGAGCTATAGTAACTCAATAAGAATATCACAAAACTCAACGATACGGAAACTGAAAGTTGGTAAAAATAAATATAAAATGACTAATGGAGCTTTTAGTTTGAGTAAGTTCAATTATAATAAGAAAAATTATTTATTGCATATTTACCATTATGAGATTTCCACAATCAACCTATAAAGATAATAACTCAAATAACATTATAATTTTTTATAGAAGTGAGCAAGAAAAATAACTTTTTTTTTTAATCTATTTATTGGTTCCTCTTAGGGTCCATGGGGATATCCCTCTACGCGTGACCCTAACATCTAAACTTGTTAATTATTTGACCGTCCTCATACTCCATCCAGTATGAGCGCCAAAAATATCATCCATCAATACCCCGTTCGGTATGAGAGTGAACCAAGCCGTCCCCATACCCTATCCGGTACGAGCGCCAAAAATACCATCCCTCGATATCCCGTCCGGTATAAGGTGACGTTCACTGTAGGGTTCCCTATGTACCCAACCTGTCTACCATCTCTCAGGATATCTAATAATACTACCATTTATTAATTCATATCATCAAGCAATTTTCCATTTATATATTAATTTTATATTTCACAATTAACCATAAATCATGCAAAACAAGCAATATATGTATTAAGGAAACACAACTGAATTATTTAAGTATTTTAATATATTATTATATATTTAAAGCTGTACAAGCAAATGATAAGTTAAACATGACAAATAAATAACTAATCGATTCAGGCTCCATTGGTGACCTGTAATTATTCTCAAAAAATTTTAAATTTCATAGAATATCATATTATTGATTTTTAAGCTTCAATTCTATAACGTGGAATAGGGTGAACGATTCTTACTCGAATCGGTGTCCAAAATACTGTACTTTCTACTGTGCCTCCTGGTGGTCTCCAAATTTTTTAAATTTTTTTGCAAAGATTAAACACGTTCCACATACTTAAAAAATGCCCCAAAAATCTAAAGTCTGTGTGAAAAATCTCTTTCGGCAAATTTTGGGATTCCGGCATGACGGTGATGCCGTGTTTCAGCGACGATATCATTGCCTGCAGCAGTAGTTTGCCTCGACCTAGTCGTTTTTAGTCGTCTTTATGTATATTCCTTCAAAAAAAATTGTTACGGAGCCTTGGTTGGCCGAAAAAATTAGAAAACTGAAACCTACCAATGGTCGGGTTTCCGGGTGCGGTGGCTCCGCCGGCTCTCTTTCGTGACTGGGATTCCTCCTTCGGTCAACTTGTAAAAAATAGAACGGTGAAAAAATCGCATGAAATCCGAATCGAGAAGGGATCATCGGAGGAGATTATGGGTTTTGGGCTGCAGCGGCCTCGTCAGGCTTTGCTCGCAATTTTTTGCTCACCCACCATTCATTTTGCTCCGATTTGGTCATAGAGGTGCTCGGAATCAAATTTCAAGTGGGTAGGATAATTTTTACATTTTTTGGCAGTCGGAAGTGGCTCCAGTGCAGCAGTGGTCGACTTCCTTCTCCAGTGTCTTGTTCTTCTTCTCCAGCAGGAGATTGGCAACAAGGGTTCGAGTTCTGTGTGATACAAAATATTTATACGCATCCCGCGTTAATTTGGATTGTCTATCATGATCGATCTCGTCCGTCTGATCGCGTCTAATGAGAAAATAATCTGGATCGTTCATCGTATTTGATCTCGACTGTTCGATCAAGCCTAAAGGAGAAATAAATTTGGATCATTCATCGCGTTTGATCTCGACCGTTCGATCGCACCTAAGGGAGAAACAAATTTGAACCGTCCACGCATGCGGGATTGATTTTGGACTGTTTGATTGCGGGGCACGCAGATCGCAAGCGTGGCCTCCCGCATAATGCCAAAGTTAGAGCGTCTGGCCACGCAGCATGCTCCGGTTGGTTGAGGCTGCTGACTGTGCGGTCCTAGATGGCTGAACTGTCTTTATTTGTACTTTGACTTATTGTATTTAATTTTTCTTTTAAAAATACTCCCAAACTCAAATTTTTACCATTTTTTTCTAAAATTATTTTTAATTTCGTCTTTTTTTTTCTCAAAAATTCAATCAAATTAAAATAAAATAAATTTTTAAATTATTATATATATATATTTATATATTCATAATCCGTAAAAATTATCCTAAGCTAATTTTCGGGCCCGGGTGTTACAAGCATTGGATATAGCTTCTCAATGATTACAACTGTAAGATTTTATCTCATACGGGTAAGGGCAATGTGGTAGCCGATGCGCTCAACAGAAAAAGTACAGGTATATTGGCTCATTTAATAGTTTTTAAATGCAGGGTAATAGAAGCTGCGCAACGTATATGGCTTCAGAACTTGCAGATAGTTATATGTCTGACCCATCTAATTGTCCAACTTGAATTGATTTAGAAAATAAAAGAAGCCCAATTGACTGATTCCACCCTAGCAGCTCTCAGGAAGGATATAAAACAGGTAGTGAATCCAGAATTCTGAGTCTCTACCAATGGGTTACTCAGGTTTCAGGACAGAGTGTGTGTATCATATGACAGTGAACTAAAAAGAGACATCATGATAGAGACTCATAGCTTAAAATTTACCATACATTTTAGAAATACTAAGATGTATCAAAGTATGAGACCCCGGTTTTAGTGGAGCGGAATGAAAAGTGAAATCGCCGATTTCATCTCCAAGTACTTTGTATGTCAATAAGTTAAGATAGAATATCAATGTCCAGGTGGGCTACTTCAGTCATTACTGATTCCGAAGTGGAAATGGGAATATATCACTATGGATTTGTAGCAGGGTTGTCTAAGGCACACTCAGGACATGATGCTATTTGGATAATTGTTGACCAACTCACCAAGTCCTTTTATTTATTGGCTATCAAAATGACCGACCCCTTAAACAAACTAGTAAGAATTTATATTCGAGAGATAGTCAGGTTATATGGAGTTCCGGTGACAATGGTATCCGATAGAGACCTCAGGTTCACCTCTCAATTTTGGTCTAGTTTTCAATAAGTAATGAGAATAAAACTATCCCTCAGCACAACATTTCACCCTCAAACCGATGGACAGTCAGAACTAACAATTCGCATAGTAGAGGATATGCTCAGAGTTTATGTTCTAGACTTTGGAGGGCATTGGAATGATCATTTGCCCTTGATAGAGTTCGCCTACAATAACAGTTACTAAACAAATATCGGTATGACCCCGTGTGAGACATTGTATGGCCGACCCTGTAGGTCATCGATCTGTTGGAAAGTGGTAAGTGATAGAAAATTGTTTGACCCAAATTTGGTAGAGGAGACCACAACCAAGATAGTTAAAATCAGGAAAAACATCCACACAGCTCAAAGTAGGTAAAAAAATTATGCAGACACCCGGATGAGAGATTTAGAATTTGAGAAGGGCGATCGGGTGTTTCTTAAGGTCATTCCCTTCAAATGTATCAGTAAAAGTAAGAAGAAAAAATTAAATCTCTAGTTCATTGGACCGTTTGAGATCTTGGACATAATTAATACGTATGCTTACATGCTAACACTACCTTTAGAACTATTTAGAGTCCATAACATGTTTTATGTGTCTATGTTACGTAAGTACAATCCAAACCTCTCACATATCCTGTCTCGTGAGCCACTTTCACTTTAGGATGATCTATTATATGAGGAGATATTAGTAGATATTTTAGACAAGAAGAACAGACTACTTCGCAACAGAGAAATTCCCTTCATCAAGGTCTTATGTCATAATCACGTAAGGGACGAGGTCACTTGAGAAGTAAAATCAGATTTCAGAGCATAGTACTCCCAACTGTTTGACTAGTGAGAGGGAAAAAATTTGAAGGACCAAATTTATTCTTAAGAAGAGGAAAATTGTAACACCCAAGTCCGGAATAATTTTATAATTAATAAAATTATACATTTAAATAATTTTATTTTATTTTATTTTAATTTTTGTGAAATTTTTGAGGAAAATAGAATTATAAACGAAATTGAAAATAATTATGAGAAAAAGTAGTGAAATTATGAATAAAGGGGTGTTTTTGAAAAAAAAATTAAAAAAGAATATAGCCACGTAATTTCTAAAATAAATTTAATAAATGCATTTAAACTAAAAGGTTCATGATTGTTAAGAACATAATTATTATATATAACTTATGTTATTTTTATTATTATGTGCTAATTATGTGGTAGTAAGTAGCAATAGATTTCAAAATATTAAGTGTGTATAATACAATGAAGATTTTCAGAATAATAAAAATATAATTATATTTAGATTAAATTGGCATTAGTCCTGCCTGGGCCATTTAAAATAAGTCTCTAAGATCACCTAGCCACCACTGTAATTTGCCAAGGAGAGAGAGAAATTTAAAAAAAAAGCCAAATAATTTTCGAAAGAGAAATAAGGAACACGTCGTCGTATTGACAGTTCATCAATTCCAGAAACGCAACGTCGTCGTATTGGTACCCATCGATTCCTGAAAGTCTGCAACCCTCAAAATTCTCGCTTTTTGAGTAATGGCATTTCATAAACCTTTTCTACTTAACCCTTTTCTTTCTCCCTGCATCACTCTTTCTCGCTCGCTCGCTCGCTAGCTAGCTCGGTTATTCGCTTTTATGGCCACCACTGCAACAGCGAACGGCTCTAAACAAGATCCAGAACCGACAGCCACGGGGTCCGACCCGTTATCAACAGCTGCAGAGTACAACCAGTCCACGACCCGAAATCCCGCAAGCGACTCCGAACCAACTATGGCAGCGGAACCCACAACCACGGGCAACGTAGCTGTAGAGAAATGGCCGGGATGGCCGGGAGACTGCGTGTTTCGGCTAATTGTTCCGCTCGTGAAGGTCGGCAGCATTATCGGGCGCAAGGGCGACCTCATTAAGAAGATGTGCGAAGAGACCCGTGCTCGCATCCGAGTTCTTGACGGCCCGGCCTCCTCTCCTGATCGTGTTGTATGTCTCTTCTCTTTTCCGCGTTCTGTATTTGTATATTTAATGTTTTCATGTTTATTTTCTTCCTGTTCGCTATATATTCTAGGGTTTTCTTGCTTCAATTATATGCATAGCTCGATACTCCCTTAAATTGTTTCCATTTCACGAGTTCCACTGTGCTTTGTTAACAAACTAGACAAAACGAAGCTTGAATGCTGGGTTGAAGTTTTAGCATTACGTGTCTAGTAGTGATCATACTCCAGCAAAAATAAACTGAGAAGAAGTTTGTCTTGCACCGAGAATAGTTTGTTGCAGTAGTTGGTATTTATCATTTCGCCAACTGTTTGCCTTAGTTTTGGTTTAACAAAAGGAAAATTTATCTTCTGATTGACCTCATGTAGATTAGGATTCCGTTTAATTAGTGGAAATTAAGGGCATTCTTTCTTCAGAGAACTTTAGGATTTTACACTTTCTTGGTTTCTTTGGGTTGGCACAAGTTCCTGTCTCCAGAAAGTAACTAAAATAAAAAACACTAGTGCAACAATAAGGTTACTGGAAATTAAAGTCAATCCTTTTTCAGGAATGGCTTAGAGATTGTTGTTGTATGGGATCTGTATTCTTTTATTCATTGTGAATAAATGACTTTTTCTCCAAAAAAAAGACATGAGTAAACGACCAGTATTATGCTAAATTGAGGAATCAACAATGAATAAATCCTCAAGTCTCGTGTAAAACTGAGAAATAACTAATAAGTGGGTTATCAAGTGTCACTTCTTTCTTCAAGTGTTCTGTTGTGTCATCTTAACTCACCTTAACTGAGAAAATGCTGTGGGAAACCAACCATCGGGTCATGTTTTAGCCTGACTTATTGGTTATATGTTATGAACATACATTAACAAAAGAGAAAAATGAGGCACGTGTTAGTTTAAGTGTGAAGTAGGCAAGAAGAACTGCACAAAAGAACAGAGAGCACAAAGAATAGACCAAGTAAATGCAATAAATAAGACAAAAAAAGAAACTTGTCAGGGAAATCACGAACAGAGTTGTAACTTGCAATAATTTAAGTAACCGTTAAAACTCTTGCAAGGTATGCAAACAACTCAACTTATGAACACTTAGACCTGCCTTTGTACAATTAGATACAAAATCATCTATTTTTGAAACAAGAATTAAAGTAGTAGATCTTTTAGCCCCTTATCGTCGTGGAGGAAAGATTGGACTTTTTGGAGGAGCTGGAGTGGGTAAAACAGTGCTCATTATGGAATTAATCAATAACATTCCCAAAGCTCATGGGGGTGTATCCGTATTTGGCGGAGTAGACGAACGTACTCATAAAGGAAATGATCTTTACATGAAAATGAAAGAATCTGAAGTCATTAATGAATAAAATCTTACCAAATCAAAAGTGGCTCTAGTCTATGGTCAGATGAAGGAACTGCCGGAAGCTCGTATCCAGGGATAGATGACTAAAACAGTTTCAGACTTCTGCCTTTCAAAAAAAAAAAAAAAGAGAACATTTTCTTTTCTATAGTTAATTATGCAACTGTCCCCCAAGCTCCAGGGGCATGATTAATTTTTATTTTGATTCTTGGTAGCTGATTTCTTTCTCTAAGATATTAGCACAGACAAACATGTATTCGGCCATTTTTACTCTGTTTCTTTTTAAAAAATTCTATTCAGGTGCTAATTTCCGGAAAGGAAGAGCCAGATGCACCTCTCTCCCCTGCAATGAATGCAGTATTAAGAATTTTTAAACGTGTTTCTGGATTACCTGAAGATGGTAGTGATGCTAAAGCTGCTGGACTTGCATTTTGTTCAATCCGACTGTTGGTGCCATCCACACAAGGGATCAATCTCATCGGAAAACAAGGCTCGCTAATTAAGTCAATACAAGAGAACACTGGTGCATCAGTTCGCGTATTCTCAGGAGGTATGTTTTAAATTTTGAGTATTGAAGCATCAATCATATGTGGTATTACCCTTTTATTCCCAAACATGTTTCTGGATTGCAATACCGAATTTCTGATGCTTTATGATATTCCATCACAATGGATCTCAGCAGTTGTGCAAGGCAGGATGAACTTTGATATTTTCAGTGAATGCGCTCTTTTTGCTGAATTAACATGTATAAATTTCGCTAATCAGGAAATATTGGAGATCCACGCATTTCAATTGCAGTATTGTCACAATAGAACTGAAATGTGTCTTTCGTTTCTTTTCTTCTCTTCCCTTCACTTGCACAGAATAAAATGAAACGTGAAAGTGCTGTATTATAGGTCACAATAATCAGTTTACTTGGGGAATGAGGATTAGGGGATGAACTTAGAATCTATATAGAAATTTTTAGATATCACTTTACACCTAAGAAATATCCTTAACTATCTTGTGATAATATCATTGTAAACACGACAGAGAAAAGAAACAAAACATTGTTGGGTTACTGGAAGAGTTGTTTGTCTATTGAAGCTCCTTTCAATGGTGTTGCATAAAGTTGTATTAGAAGATTGAGACTCCTCTATGGAAGTCAAAGCCACATTAAATGGATTATGCTTTGGGTACATTGTTTTGGGTCATGACAATATTAGAGATGAGGATTTTGGGGATGTTATTAATATCCTAACAGATTTGTAAATTTGTAAATGGGTGGTACCCCCATTGGTGCCCTGTTAATTTATATTCACACTTTTTATCTAAAAAAAAAAAATGATGCCGGTGATCTTTCTTTCACTCTTGGTGCCGCCAAGATGTGTCAAACAATAGACCAAAGGGCGGTATTTATTATGATCATCAGCCACATTATCAGTTGTGCAAGTTCCATCGTGATTTGGGTTATCTTCTCATAGCAGTCTCTCCGTGTTCTACTCCAACATGTAGGGTGTCTTTCTTTGGGCATTAATTTAACCCATGTGGTCAGGCTTCCCTTGCCTGGAACAGGAGATTTCTTTGCCTTTAGTATTAGGTCCATTGGAAGCTGGCTTTGAGCCAATAGCAGGAGATGCGGTTTGTTCTTACATGCTGTTTTTTTTTTTTTTCGAAATAAGTTCTTACATGCTGTTTTTACACCATATTTGTCACTGTCTTTCTTCTAGAAGTTTATTCCTTGGTTGGAGTTTTTTTTTTCTTGGTAATTGAGTAGTTCAATATTCTCCTACATCAAGAGCAGCATTATGAACTTCTAAGTAGCAGTGTATGCCTATTAGTCTTGAATAATTTTATTACTCCTAATAGTTTGGAAGAGCTTGGCCATTGATCATCAAGTTTTAAACCCTTTATCAATAAGGTTCAGGGTGTGCTTAAGTCAATTATAAGGGTCTTTGAGCTTCTGATTCTTTCATCCCAAGATGTGAAAAAAAATATCTTATGGTCCCATCCATCTTTGTTACGATTTTTGATGCAGTCTTCATTGATTTTTGGACATCTTCCTATCATTTTTGGTGTCACATAACATCTTTCTGTAATTAAACTGGGCACATGATAATTTTTGTCTGTCAGATGATACACCATTTTATGCTGCGGCAGATGAGAGGATTGTAGAATTGCAGGGAGAAGCTCTGAAGGTCCTCAAAGCTCTAGAAGCAGTGGTGGGACACTTGAGGAAGTTTTTGGTTGATCGAAGTGTCCTTCCTCTTTTTGAGAAGAATGTAAGCTTGATTTTTCTATTAATTCCCAGTAAGATATATTTCTTGCTGTGCAATGTGCTAATTTTGTCATCTTCAAATTTAGCATAATGCAACAGTCTCTCAAGATCGCCAAGTAGAAACATGGGTTGACAAGCCATCGCTGCATGCTTCTTCTCAAAGTGGAAGCATAACTGATTATCCTCTCTCAGCTAGGAGGGAGTCTTTGTTTCTTGAACGTGAAACTCAGTTAGAATCACAAATTCAGCCATCTGGAATCTCACTTTTTAGTCAAGATCCTGCACTTCCAGTGATGCGTTCTTCTGGACTTGGTCGTGCTGGAACTGCCGGTGCTCCCATTGTTACACAGGTTGGTTTCCTTCTACAAGTTCCAAAGTTTCTTGTTGACTTAAAATGTTTGTTCTAATCATATTATGGTCTGAAATTAAGTTGTAAGAGGATTAGACAATTATGCTATGATATAACTGCGTGAATAGCAAATGGGTGTTTAAAAGTTTATTCTTGCTGTCTCAATGTTTGAAATGCATTCTGCAGACACAATTTTGCTTTATAGACATGTCAAATGCTATTAATCATGCTGGTTCAAGTTGATAATTAGTAGCAAAATGCGATAAGCTGTAATCAGTTTCACTGTTTGTTTAGTTGTAAACATCTCTCCAATTTTGATGCTATTCTCTATTGTTATAACTGTTTTTACAAATTTAAAATGGGGCATGCAGGAGGAGCTGGGTTTTAGTTGAGCTTCATTTGGATTTGTAGTTTTTCTATACCATCAGTCTCGTCATATCTTATGTTGTCTTATATAATTAGATTGCTCAAACAATGCAAATACCATTTGCTTATGCTGAGGACATAATTGGAATTGGAGGAGCCAATATTGCATATATTCGTCGGACTAGTGGAGCCATCATAACTGTGCAAGAGAGCAGAGGATTGCCTGATGAAATGACAGTAGAAATTAAAGGCACTTCATCTCAAGTTCAGATGGCTCAACAACTCATTCAGGTTAGAGAAGTCTATTTATTTATGTCTAACAGAAATTAGATACTTTTGTTTGTTCTCCCTTGATGCGGTACGTTAAGTTGAGCAAGCATTCTTTGCTGAAATTAAAAATATTCAGATGAGAGTTTGTGAACAGAAATTTCATATAGTTCTCTTCCTTGGAGATATTAATTTCAGTGAGTCGTTGAGCTATTATCTGT